TGTAAAAAGCAACGTTACTGTGTTTCTCTTCCATTCAACGTGCATGTAAGAAGTAGGTGATGTTGTGACGGAAATCCCTATTCTGGCCGGCTTTACACAGCTGTTGACACTTGCAAAAAGGTGAATTGAGTTTTGACAACTCCTCCTCATTTTCATGCCTGAAAATACTCTCTACAGTCGTGAAACACTTGTTACTAAAACTTGTATCCCTGATCCTGAAAATTGTTTTGTTTTTATTCACATATCTGATAATAAGATACTGAATTTACCAAAGTCTATATTTCATTTATACGATTTTCGACTGCCACCAGTCAGTTCACAGAATTAAAACAGTATCGTGATTGATCTGCCTCACAGAGTTTAGTTTAGTTTTGTATCCATCATTTTAATTTAACTTAGATTATCAAAAACAACTTAATTTTTTAAAACCAACTCATTATTATTCAACCCATATTTTTCAGTGGGCCGAAGGATCACAGCAGGTGTCTTCCTCCTCATTGTGTTCCTATTTCCTCTCAGAGTTGCTCTTTCGCTCCCTTTTCCCTTCGTCCCCCTGAGAAGCCGAAGCCTGTGATCGCTGTGAACAGCTGCAACATGCCGCAGACCTTCAGACCTGTCAGCCTCAGTCTCTCTCTGTGTGTGTGTGTCTGTGTGTGTGTCTGTGTGTGTGTTTGTGTGTGTGTGTGTGCATGCATACAAAGTGCTTGCACTCACATTCCTGTGGTCAGCAGGGAGTCTGCGGACCCACTGTTGTTCTGCATAACTCCACATGCATCACTGTGTTTATGCATGTGTGTAGGCTCACCCTCCTCTCTAATGAGATGCTGCTCAGAGAGTAAATGTTTGGAAGAGAGAAGCGTTTCTTTGTCACAACACAACACAGGAGCTCCTCAGCTTCACCGAACGTGCGACGGCTGTATGTTTCTCGTCTTTCCTCTTCTCTTGTTTTTCTGTGCCTTGCCTTTCATACCATTCCGTTTATGCAACACACCTGCGTGGTCTGAGATGAGAAATATGAAGAGAAATATTAGCTCCAGATGACCTCACTGTGGTTTGATTGATTCATTGGATTATCTCCATACAAAGCATGATGGTATGTGCAGAGTTTCAGTCTGAGCCATGTAACCGTTTCTCTCCACAATCAGGAAAGTGTGTGTGTGTGTGTGTTATGAGTTATGGGTTATGGGCGGGGGCTATTGGCTGGTGGAGGCTGGCAGGCATGCCCACATGGGTCTGTGCCATCTGGAATTGGTTTTGCACGGTTCGACCCGAACTGAAGAGGCTTTTGTACTCACCCGGAGCTGCCCGAGGGAGGAGAAAACAATGGACAAAAAAACACAGTTGAAAAAACAAAAACTTAAAAAAAAAGTTGAAGCCCAGAGCTGAGTATCACTCGGAATTGACCAAATACTATGCCAATACAATACCTGACATTCAGTAACAACACCAAAAACATACTTGCTTTGTGACGACATTAAACAAGCCAGACATCTGAAATGTTAAATGTTGTCCAAACACAAGCACCGGTACAAGTGCTTCGCCTACATAAAAAAAGCCAATAATTGCTAAATGTTAGATATAAGTCACAAACAGTATTTATATGTATTTACTGGTTTATTTAACTGGGACAGCATACATTAATAAACATTACTGGATTTCGTGCCAGTTATCCAAAAGTCTCCGATTGTCTGTCCACAAAAAAACTCAGCATCAGTCTCAGTTTCAGAGAATACCCCGAAATGACAAACTCCGTGTTTATGTCGGCATAAAGAAGCCGAAGCACAACATTCATGAAACAAATGAGAAGGTAGTGACATTATTTCAGATCCAGACGAGAGCAAACACCAGAAACTGCTGTTCGTTTCCTGTCTGCAACAGACGTTAGCACGACCGCCATCGCTCCCTAACCTTCAGTGTTTGCTATCGTCACCATGGCGACGTAGCTCCACTAACGCTAATGAAGTACTTATTCCAACCCGAACAATTACCTTTCCCCAACCCTAGCCACGTTTTAATGCCTAACCCTGACCAAACCTTTAATCACGGCATTGCAAGATCAGAAAACAGCAGTAAGTGTGACTCTTTTGGAGGCCCCGTCTGTTTGGCACGAGGCTCACTGGGGGCTGTTCTCCCTCTCAGTCCCCTCTCCGGGTTTCTTCAGCTGAAAGTGAGTAGCTATGGATACTGTGCGGCGTGGATACAGGAGGTGAAAGGTGTAAGGGTGTAATGACGACCAGCGGAGCCTCACAGAGCTCGAGTTTGGTCTGAGGTCAGAGGTCAGGGTGAGGTCAGCCAGCGTTGCCACAGATTGGGCTCTTCTGTAATTAACTGGATGAGCTGCGGTGCAGCAGATGTGACAAACCACGGTGAGGACAGTCAGCCGTGGGAACGCAGAGAGACGAAGCTCGGCTGCTTTCTGAGAAACGTCCCAAGAGAGAGAAAAACTGACAGGGAATGTTTGAGGAATCCTCAGAGCATTCCCCTCATTTTGTGTTTGTTTTCTTCATGGAGCAACAACTCTAACTGTGGATTCTCTTGTTTACTGAGCTGCGCATGAGTATGAGTCTGCGTGTCGGCGATGAGAGGTTTGGGTCCAATCAGAGGCAGGTCACAACATAACCAGCTCAGTGCTCTTGACCTTTAACCCCTAGGAGAGCAAGTTGAGTACTGAACTTGTGTGTGGTGTATTAGATGCTCCACTGGGAGTATCAGATGGCACCAAACCATCATAACTTTTTTTTTTTAAATAGACAATTATACATAGCAAAATGTATACTAACTGATACCAGTTACATATTCTTGAGCAAGTATTGCCCAATATATATAAACAGTGATAGGCTCAGTACTGAGATCCTTAACTTAAGTAAAAGTATAGCAATATGAAAATGTAAAACAAAAACTCCTCAAGCAAAAGTACTGCAATCCAGATTCAAAAGCATGACAGCAAGATATTGCTGCATGTATAAAGTGTTACATTACTAACGCATTAACATGTAAGTAGCACTGGCCCAAGTAGAGTCAAATTCATGTTGAAACTTCAGCAATGGATAATAATTAATACAATAATCAAATGTTTTGTACGTCAAACTTTTAATCTGCCACATACAGTAAGTAGTAACCGCAGGCAAATCAAATGAAACAAATGTGAATTAAATAAACGTTTTGAGTAAAAAGTACAAAAAAGTACTTGCCAAAATGTAGTCCTCCAAATCCTGAGTAAATGTACTTCCTCATGTTCAATGGTTGTTATTAAACCAATTAATATATTGTCTGCTCCTATAGTAAATACATTGATGAACTGACAGCCAGATAGACACTTAAGACACAAAACTTGTATGTTTAAAGAGTCCTGCTCGCTAGCTGCCAGCGAAGTCAGACTTGTGGATATCTGACACACCGCACATAATGTTGTCACTATAGAAATGAGTGTGGGGAACATCCAGCCGTGGGAAAGTCATGTTGAACCATAAACAATTAATCAGTGGTGGAGGAACTATTCAGATCCTTTGAAACTTAATTTTGTTGTATCTTTTTACGATGACAATAAACATCCTTATCCTTATCCCTAAATAAAAGTAGCAACGGCAAAATGTAATGAGCTAAAACTGACAGTGCCTATTAATTGTCATCATAGTGGTTCAAATTCCATAACAATTAATCAAAAATCAATTGACACCCAGTGAACGTGGAGCTTTTGGGACCCTTGGGTCAGTTTTTATCACAGCTTGTGTGATTCAAAAAATCTAAATCGAACATTCATGCTCATCAATAAAATACTTTAAGTATCAAAAGTAGACATGCTTGTTCAGTAGAATGCCCCCTTTCAATATGCTGTATCACTATACAGGCATGTAGTATTTCATAAAACAAACGTGAACATGTAAACAGCATGTTTTAATTTCGTACTGTGTGTGTGTGTGTGTGTGTGTGTGTGTGTGTGTTACCGGTGCATGGTGCGACACTCAAAGATTCTTCAAATTCATTAACTGCCCACGTGTGATTATATAATCCACTCGAAGACGATGCAGCTCGTCCAATATGATCACAGACAAAGCTGAGTCCAAATCCCTCCATCTCAGAGTGCTTGAATGGAGGGCAGGAGCGGAAGAGAGGGGGGGGGGGGGAGAGCTGGCTGAACAAGGAGCCTCTTTATAATGATCGACTCTTTACACGGTGACTCATCGCACTTCACAGGCCCATCCGTGGCCGAGGAGGCCTGCCCTCGTGTTTGCTGAATGACACACTGTGTTGTCAGAATGTCATGTTTGGAGTGCTCTCCCCCCTACATCCCCCCCCCCCCCCCCCCCACACACACACACACACACACACACACCTCTGCTCCTATTGTACGCTGTCAATCTCTGCTCTACTGTCATGATTATCATGATGCAGAGTACTGCAGGTGGAGTTTGTACAAGGTCTCCGAAGTAAGCTTAAACAAATTATTATGATCATGCCATGTCTGTGCTTCAGTTACGAGGCCGTAGAAGCGCCATAGCTTAGCATAAAGAGTGAAGGTATAGTTGGAAACAGCTTGCCTAGCTCTTTCCAAAGATCTAATATATTCGCTTAACAGTGCGTCCAGTGGTGGACTGGTTGTCTAAGGGGCAGGGGAAGAAGGGAAACAAGAAATAACTCTTTATTTTCTTTGAGGGTTAGGGTTCAGCAAGCCCTGTATTATTAGATGCAAATGATTCAGACTGATTAAAATGGCAATCTGAAGATATTACATTTTGATTACTTCAGATCTTGCTGAAACAAACAGACTGACGTTTAGGAAAGAAATGCTGAGATTTTGAGAAATAACTCAACTAAAAAGTGGCAATGTTATGAGGAATTTTGGTTAAAAAAAGTCTTAGTACTGTGAAAATATGAAAAAAGTGCATTGAAACTATTTAGTGGTTATAGACAAGAAGTACGCCTGGTTAGTATTTGATATTTGAGAACTGCGTGGTAAAAGACTTTTGACGATTTTTTTTTCTCGTGTGTCTTTTCCTCAGATTCCCGGAGTTTCCTGGACAGCATGAACCACGCCGGCGGCTCCACAGAGGGAGAGCTGTTCAGATCAGAAGTGTCGGTCACTCCCGCTTCCTGTCAGAGGATCTTTGGCTCCATGTGCTCCATGTCATCAGACATCAGCCCCCTCACACACACAGACAGGTACACGCATCCGGTCCGTTTCTGGTGTTTATATAACAGTGTGCCATGTAAGGGCTGGCTAATGGCACCGCATGATGCGTTGTAACAACACAAAACCATGGCCAAAATAATGTAAAAAGTCAAATGGGCTGATTAATCTTCATCAATTTCCAATTTCAATGTCTTTGATACCAGACTTTTAATGCTTTTAGTTATCTTGTTCAAAATATTGACATATTTACGGATTATTTGGACACTTGTGTGTCTTTCTATCGCTCCTCCTCCCTACTTCTCTTCTGCAGCTCCACTCCTCCTCCTGTGTGGCATGACCAAACTCCAAACTCCCTGAACTCCCCGTATTCCCTCCAGCCCTCACCTCCCCTCTCCCTCAGCACTCCCAATGCCCACAGCTCACCCCGGGGGGCTCTGAGAGGCCTGGGTGGAGGTTCGGGGGTCCGCAGGGAGACAGACAGTGCGGACTTGTCCTCGTTGTTGTTGGGGAACGGCAGCCTGGAGCACAGCCTGCTGGAGGCCATGGATGGCCTTGGGAGTCTGAACCTCGGGGGAGACGGGGGCCTCCCTCCACTGCTGCCTGAGAAGAGGAGAGGGGGCGAGGGGGGAGAGCTTGGCTCCCGCTCCCCGTCTCTAAGCGGGTTTTCCAGCCCTTACAGTGGCAGCAGTCTCAGCATCCCTTTCTCATCCTCCGTGACCCCCGACCCCTTCAGGGGACTCAGCGGGGCCCCGTCGCCTGGACCAGGTATACTCTCACAGATTGTTGTCTCTCTGTCTCTGGTGTTAATTCATTTATTTCATTCCCTCTCTCTCTTAGAAACCTCCAGCTAACCTAAATGACAGAAAACCCTGAACACTGACCGATTTCTGAGGTCATTCTTCAGTCCCTCGAGAAAACAAAAAACAATCTCAAGAAATTTTATTTTATTAATTGTTTGTATTAACCTTTATAAAAAAAGGGAACAGAACTCTCTAGTCCTGGCTGAAATAAGCAGTTGCTCTTATATAATATACTATTGTTTGCAATGATGAAAAATACGTTTTTTGCTCTTCTCCAGAATGCCATACAATTTTACCAATACGTGTCGTGCTTAGGAAAATAATTCAGTCCAGATTTTAAAATGTTAAACAAACAGCATAGCTTATATATAGACAGGGTTGAGAGATATTTGTCATTTGGGTGTACTGACCCTTTAACCGGTCCCTCTGACTTCATGTTCTCTGCCCTGTCTTGCCATATTTGGGCCAAAGCCAGTCTGAAACCTAACGTAGAGTCTTAATCTGTGTCTTGCAGACTTTGGCAGTAAGCAGGACACTGTGAAGTTTGTTCAGGACACTTCCAAGTTCTGGTACAAGCCCGACATTTCAAGAGACCAAGGTAAATATTGGTGTTGGACAGGACAGGCCAGCCAAGCGGACACTTCCATACAGATAATAATACGCTCCTTGTGCAGTACGAACACGATGATTCTAACTTTAGCTTATCTCTGTTTTCCTCTTCCTGTTGACCTACTGAACAGCCATCACACTGCTAAAGGACAAAGAGCCGGGCTCGTTCATTGTCAGAGACAGCCATTCATTTCGCGGGGCGTACGGGTTGGCTATGAAGGTGGCCACGCCCCCTCCGTCTGTGTTACAACAGAGTAAGAAAGGTAGGCTGACACATTGCTGACAAAGTTTTTCCTGGATTTGATTCCTTTTTTACAGAAACTGTCTTCGAGAAAACATATACAGCCTGTGGTGTTTATAGATACAAAAATGATTTGTGAATTGATCAAAGTTCCAAACAGTTCTACCAACATGTCCAACACAAAAGAAAGCATCACACCTTTCACATTGTTCTTTTCAGTGACTCTACACGTTATACAATGTGATTTACCGTATTTCAAAGTTCTTTTTTCTCTGAAATAGATTTTCTGAGCCACTGATATGAAGACGGAGGGATTTAATGCTGTCTTTATTCATATACATTTTTTTTTGTCATGAGTAAATTCCCAGAAGGTTTTACCTACCAGTCAGTAACAACATATCTATGCAAATGAACCAAAATATACTAAAATATGCAGAACATCTTGTTTGTTTCTGCAGTGGGAGACCTGTCCAATGAGCTGGTGAGACACTTCCTGATAGAGTGCTCGCAGAAAGGAGTTCGCCTTAAGGGCTGCCCCAATGAGCCGTACTTTGGTGAGAATACTGAGTCTTTACCGAGAGTCTTGAATCATTTATCACATTTGGTGACAGTTTAGCCAAAATCTAATCCTAAGAGTCATCGTAGTATAGCAAACATCTACGTGTATGTGATCATATCACCTCTTCATTGCATTATAAAGAATGAAAAAACTCTGATACAATTAATCAAAGAGTCTTGAACACGGGATTTCTTGTCAGCCAAGTGGAAAACACGAATAAACAACTGGAAGCAACGTAAACCAAACAACAAAGTCAAATTGTTGTTATGTTATTACTCACTGTCAGCAGAGTTATAATGTGGTAGTTTCATCTGCTGCGTTGCATCATGTTTTAAGAACATCTCTCGTGTTTTCTAAAATGTTTATCTGCATGTCAATTAAATGGTGCTTTATTTTACAGGTCTGTAATTATCAGGAAGTTACTGACTTGTAAAACCAATAAGCGATGAAGAGTAATATGAACAATATTTCCCTCTGAACTGTAATGGAAGAAAAGCAGAAAATTGCATCAAACAGTAATACTAATTGTTAAAGTAAAGTACAAGAGCTCTCCACCAAATCAAGTCCAGAATTGTTGTACTGTTGGTAGAGTCAAACACTGAGCTGACATTGTGTCACCCTCTACTGGGCAGCGTGATGAGGTGCAGCTGGCTTCCTTATGACTCGTATGCATCATTGCATCTGGATAGTGAGGATCTTTGTGAAATGTTTATTTTTTTATTTTTGCTGCCAGGAAGTCTCACAGCTCTGGTGTGTCAGCACTCCATCACCCCTCTGGCTCTGCCCTGTAAACTCATCCTGCCTGACAAAGGTGAGCAACAAGAGCCCTCGTGTCCGAACCAACAGCTCATTCCTTTTCTACAGAAAGAAACTCTGCAGCCTGTGCATACAACTTATTATCACTTATCGATATACAACTTCCTCACTAGAATTAACCAGAAAAGAGACAAAGCTCATATTAAATACTACACTTCAACAGCAGAATAAAACTTTACCAAGGCAACAACACAATATAAACAATATAAACTTAACCCGCAGCTGCAGCCACAAACACACATATTAAACCAAAAGAGAGACTACACTGTTTTTACACAGCGTGTAATGCCATTCCAGATATTTCTATTTGTCAACCTCACACACAAAGGTTTCCTGTTGATGGTATTTTAATGTTGTTTATGATGCATATTTCTAATTGTATTTAAAACTGCAATTACATTTTAATTGCAATTCCCAGCCCTACATGCGTGCGTGTGTGTGCGTGTGCATGCCTGGTACAAATGGCTCGTTTGCATGCATAGATGAAATTAGTGTGTTTCTCAGTCAGTTAACTCTCCGTGTGTCGTTGCTTACAGACCCGGTGGAGGAGCTCAATGACTCATCTGCACAGACGGCAACCAATTCAGCAGCTGAGCTCCTCAAACAGGGAGCAGGTACGGGACAGACGCCACATGTGTTCACAAATCTGTGTGCTTCTTTTGACTTGTGTGTGCAGGACATTCATTTCATATCGACACACACACCCTGCATCAGTTGGAACGTCAATTGAAGTTTACATCCGCTTCGAAGTATACACAAAACGCCTTAGCTCTGTTTCATTGAATAAAACCAGTAGATGATAACTTTAAATTTTCATTTTGTGGTGAACTGCTCTTTTACTTTGTGTGATCCTTTATGGTACTTTATGTAGCGTGTAACGTGTGGTACCTGGGCTCTGTGGAGCTGGAGTCTCTGACAGGACATCAGGCGGTTCAGAAGGCCACCACGCTGACCCTCTCCATGGACCCCCCTCCGGCGTCCACCGCCGTCCACTTCAAGGTGTCGGCGCAGGGGATCACGCTCACTGACAACCAGAGGAAGTGAGTGTGCAGACATTTAGAGTCCAAGCAGAGATAAGGGAGTGAATCCACGTGTTCACACAGGACTGTCTCCATTTGTTCTTGCAGGTTGTTTTTCAGGAGACACTACGCGGTCAACACTGTCATCTTCTGTTCTCTGGACCCACAGGGCAGGAAGTGAGTATCATCTGTTGTAGTTATTCATATTGACATTTAAATAAAAAGCACATCACCTCCTAGGCTGCACAGTCCGCTAAAGACAATTACCGTTTCTCTGTTTATCATTGGGCAACATTGATTTTTCCTTCATGCGCAATTTGGGAAAACACACTGTTGTTCCTTCATAACAATAAAGGAGATTTTAGATTGAAACCTCAGATCAGAGCCTATATTAACAACCGGAGGGCTTTATTAGTAGCAAAATACCACAAAAGGTCTAAGGAATCCTAATACTTATTGTATCACACATATTATATAAGATGGTTGCAAAAACAGTCCAAAATTGGGATAGTGTATATTATTATCTGACAGGTCCTTGTCCTGCTATGGCCATATTTTGAAGGACTGTCTTTTATATTTGATGTAATATTAATGTCTATATGTGATGTATAAATATAAACCTTTGATGGCCAATAACAGTGTGCTAACGTGTGTTATTCTGTCCCAAACAGATGGACGAGGGGCAGCGGTTCCACTGCAAAGTAAGTGCCTTTTCTTTACCGTATGTATCGCCACCTTCATTGCTCGCTTCGCCCTGTTATGACACAATAAGTGTTTGAATTATTGTTTTTTTTTTTTTTACTTAACAACGAAAAAAGTTTATTGCATGAATTGCACATTCACACTGATACAACAGATTTTGAGATAATAAGTATATCTAGTTAAGATTTAGGTGGCCTCGAAATGATTCTCCATCCAAGATCTGTCTTACATATTAAACACCCTCTGCACGGTTGAAAGATGGCTGTAAAGAGATTTCTTTGTTTCGTGAAGTAAGGCTGGGGTTAGCTTGAATTCATGTCAATGTCTATGCTGCCATGTTTTCATGGCATGTTTGAAATTATTGCGAGAATTATTGAGAATCGGCAGTAGAGACATAAGAGACGGATATAATAGACATAATAGACAATGGAAAAGTAAAATTCGTTTTTCTGCCACAAAAACTGTTAAAACGGCAACTACAAACCTTTTACGGTGACATTTTAAGCCTGCAAAGAGTGATACTCAAAGAAGTTTTGCTTTAAGCAAGACACTGAACTTCTACCTGCTCACGATTGTCATTTGAAACCAGTCAAATGTAGATAAGCTCTTGAATGAGCATTCCTGTCTGTCTCTGTCCCTTTCTTCCAGGATCTTTGGATTTGTAGCCAGGAAATCTCAGAGTGAGACTGAAAATATATGCCACCTGTTCGCTGAACACGACCCCGAGCAGCCGGCGAGCGCTATCGTCAACTTCGTCTCAAAAGTCATGATCGGGTCACATAAGAAGTGAGGGGGACACTCACCGCAGAGTGAAGAGCCTGGACTGGGGATCAACTTCCAAACCCCATCATTGTATAAATATGAGTGTGGATTCAAAAAAAAATAAACAAGCTCTTCCTCCCAAGAGCCACAAAAACCCCTCTAAACCCACACACTCCAGCACCCTGGTCCTGTTGGTCCATCTGAACGGATAAACTTGTGTATTTTGTACTGACTGCACTAAAGGATGCCGCCACCAGAGGAAGCCACGATTGTCATGTAGAAAGTTAAACTCATCAGCAGGAGGCTTTAAGATGGATCCTTGGGATTTAAAAAAAAATAAAAAGTGGTATAACATCAGACCCTTTCCCCCAGGGGATGTAGTATGAAAATCAGATTTGTACTTAATCTGACTGTATCTTCAAGCATACTCTAAATGTATCGTATACTGACTTTGCTTTCTGCTAGCAGTCATAGCCAAAACAATACAACACATTGACTGATAAAACTTGGAGAATATCTGATATTCTGCACATGAACATTTTTTTTTAGTACGACTATAACTTTAAAAGCTGTTTATTTTTGGTAACGTGTGAATCAGGTATCAACATCACTTTTGTGCAAGCCACAGGCCCATGTTTGTATATTAATTAAAACAAAATCAATGATATCATCACATGACAAAGCCAGTAATGTGGTCGCCTTGTACTTAAGATGGATTTATTGTGTTCTGTTTATAGTATTTATCCCTTTTTACAGATGTGACAGAAGCCTTTTTTCCCTAAATACTGTATACTTGTCATATATTTTTGTATATTAACATAGTGTACATTAGGTTTAAAGGTAGTGAACCTTAGAATTTACATGTTTATTTCACATATTGTTGAAGTATTTCACATACCAGTAAGATACTACATAAGCTGCCCCACTCATACTTGTTGTATTACTAATACGGATGTCGATATGTTCCTTTTACAGTAACTCAATACAGATTTATGTAGAGTTATTGTGCCATGAAAAACGTTATTCCGAGTGTCTCTAATAAGAGATCAAATACAGTCACTGTGAGAAATGTCACAATTAAAGTCCACCTCACTATTATTTCCTTTCACAGCTTCCTCTGTTCATCACAGGCATCTTGATTTGCTGATTTGTAAATGAACATTGATCATTTACCGAGGCATCTCTAATTCTGAGATTACATTAAAGCGTTGATGCGCCAAAGTCTCATAAAGAAAAAACATTTTCTTATTTACTCTCTGTGGTATCCAGCCTTGCAGACTGTTATGTTTTATTTGACTATGTTTTGTTTTTATGATGAGCTTTTTTAATGTTGATTTAACAGATAAAAAAACCAATGTGGTGGTGGTGACACAACCCTCCTCATAATTGCCACAAGATCTGCAAATAAGTTAATATTGTCACAGTGACACTTCTTGGATTCACACAAACAAAAAGCATGTTAGAAATTACTTAGGCCAAGAACAAATTAAGGCTCAAAGCAACATATACAAATGGTGATATTCACATAAAGAAGATTTGCTTTTGAGATATCAATTTCTGCCAGAAATCTTCTTCCACTGTGGTATAATGGAGGAGAATGGCATTTGTTTTGTTTAAATTTGAATGAAACTGTTTTCTAATGAAAAGATCAAAACCAACAATGTGCTAGTCTATCACTCAGAACTTACCTACATATACTCTGTCTGTGGCTCTCAGGCCCAAGCCCACTCGCTGCTCTCGTGAGTATTTGTGGCAGCAGGACAGCGTATGTTGGATGGAGTCAAAACAAACTACTGTTCATGTGATGAAGGAACATGTCACCCAGTGCCACAGTGTGGCTCATTGGTGGCTTTTTAGTAGTTTCTAGACAACAATGGAGCCCTATGACACAGAGGAAGATTTTATATCTAGCTTTGATGCACACACAATGCGTGTTAGCATTATTGGTTTTGTTCTTTTCACTTGATTTGTTGACAATAAGTCATCTGAGTGTGAAACGAGTATTTCAAAACCTCGACAAATAACAGTAAAACTAGTTGCATGTCTAGATAAACTAGATGTGAGCGGATATGCTGTTTTGTGGTGAGCTGACACTTTAAAATCTAAAGTTGCAGTTTACAGTTTTGCTAATAGATGGCAGTAATCAGCCACCAAATTGCACACGTCATAATGAATAGTTAAGCTCTCGCTAGACTGCACACAACTTGAAGGTATTTTGAAAATACTCAATTTTTGGATGGAATATTTATTTTAGATTTTTCAGTTATTCTCTTCCTTACTCGCTTTTCTACTCAAATCAGTTTTATACCAGGAAACAGTTGCAGATAGAGCTGAGCAGGTCCACACATGCAGGAAGAACCACCACTCTTGAATAAACTTGGCAATGTCAAAGCATATCCAAGCTTGCGTGTGCCTGTGTGTGTGTGTGTGTGTGTGTGTGTGTGTGTTTGAGAAATCCGGGGATGTGCACATGACAGGGACAAAAAGGTGGTTTAAACGCACGCCTGATAGGCCTCCAGGTGCCTCATAGACCTGCTGATCCATCTGTCTCCAGCCTCTCTGTGTGTTAGTTGAGGCTTTTAGACACCAGGTCATCAGATACCAGTTTTTGAATGAGGCTTTATTCAGGTTCCTGGTCTCTGTGGAGAGAGCTGAGGAACTGGAAGTGGGACAGATAGACGTGGGGACACATCCCAGTCCTGCCCGGCCTGGAGAAAGAGGGACTGAATGAGGGGAGTAGAGGGGGGTGTAGGGATGGTGTCTGTGTGGGGGGTGGGGGTGATGGAGGTGGTGGTGGTGGTGGAGGGGGGGAGGGTTGTCGGTGGATGACCTCACCATTACGGGAAACTTTCCCACAGCCTGAACACAAAGAAGGCCGTCAAAAGGTAAAAAGGATGAGAAAGAATAGAAATTTAACACAGTGTGTAAAAAAAAGGAGGCAAAGTGTGGAAGAGCGGTTAGTCAATGAGAATGAGGCTCTTTCGGAGGGGGAGTCGTCTTCCCTTTTCAGCGATTCAGAGATTCTTCGGGGTTGATGGAAGCTCGGAAAGGCCTGAGAGACAAAGTCTGCTCACAGCAGCAACCTTCAGTTTGGCTCCTGTCCTCTCTCTGCTGAGTCACCCGCTCGCCATTTTGTCCCGACGCTGCTTGCACTTCCTGCCGCACTTCCTGTCAGGCAGCCCACCAGCACCTGGCCGCCGCTGTTGCTGGACGACATCACATTCCTGGCATTGCTCGCTCCGAATGCTGTTTGGAAATCCAAAGTCCGGCTTCCATTCGGGAATGCCTCCCTCACAGAGTCCCTCTCAGCCTCTGATCCCCGGCCTCCCCTCACTTTATTTGAGTTAGCTATTTAAAGCCCGTGCTAAGTGCGCTGCTGCTCTGGCTGCACAGGGGAGCAAACACACACTCCATCGCACACACTAGAACCACAACGGCCCACAAATAATCCCTCTCCTATTTTTAATTTGGTGGGCTGAAGGGACGCAGCCTGCGGGGCTGACTGCGAGTATGTAATTAACTTTTGGAGATATGACGATTTACAGCAGTATAGAAATTAGTGCTATCACTATTTACACTGTTTTTCGCAGGTGGAAACATTTACTCAAGTATTTGTACTTCTTCTGCAATACATTTCATGGGGTGGAAACGTTGATTTCATATTTCAGTTAATTTAGCTAGTTGGCTACTTTATTACCGTTAAATTCTAAATGTGGAACTTTGACTTGTAATTGAATATTTTTACACTGTGGTAATACTTTTCCTCAAGTAAACGTTCTGGGCCTTTTTCAAGGTTTGATACTTAAATACTAAATAGACTGTATTATATATATTATACTACAGAGAAGAGCGTCTTCGTTTTTTGTTTTGTCTTATAAAGTCTTAAAGCCTTTTAAAGCAAGCAAGCTAATGATGACCTTTTCTTAAAATTTTTCTTTTCAAAAACACCAATACTGAATTTAGGAGAAACGTGCATGGAACTATACACAATGTTTCTGGAATATTTAAATGTGAACATTTATGTTGTAAATATTACATAGCTTCAATGACTACAAAGAGTTGGAACAAGCTGATACAGAATAAGCTATGATGTATATTATACTGTCACATAGTAAGCCACAAAGAAGACAGAATTTTAAGAAGCTTCACCATTTATACATTTTCATTTATAACTTTTTATTCAAACTGTGTCATTTTTAATCTCTATGTCTCTACTTTTTTAACAGAAGTACCTACAGTATTTGTTCAATATCTCTGTGTGTATTATATGTTACATCATTGACAAAATATGCTGTCAAATCATAGAAATTGAGATTTCCTTTTCAGTTTATATCTGAGTAGCTCTTTCTTTAAATCTCTCATTGAGCAGGACTGCCATATGGCAATATTAGATCTGTAGAATTTTTGTGTCAATGCGATGAAAATTCAGGTATTTAGCCAAAAAAAACACTGACATATCACTGGTCCCTCTTGGTTACTACCCTACAATCCATGTTTCCCCTTAATGCACGAATACACCTGAATGTTAACTTGTATGAGCAGGAAATCAGCGTTACTCAGCATCAGCTTTTTCCAGATTTTGGATTTTGACTCTTCCAATGACAGCAAAGCATTAACGCACCACAGAAATATGGTTCTAATACACCGCAGCATAAGAAACTCACACAGTTTGTGACACTTACCACACACACCCACACACACACACACACACACACACTCACTCACTCACTCACTCACTCACTCACTTGCTCGCCAATAAAAATTTCTAGCCTACGTGCTCTCAGGCACATGCTGAAAGCAGTGCTTTTATGGCCGGCCTGTTCATTGCATTGTCTCTATAACTGACTGAAACACACACACACACACACACACACACACACACACACACACACACACA